CTCTGTAAAGCACAACTTGAGGAATGACCAAGGGTTTGTGGTCACCCTGGTTGAAGGACAAAGCAATTCTAATGTGAATAATATTTTTCTTTGTTTTAAAAACATCAATGTGTGATTTTTCTTTGCAAGCTGTCGGCCCTCCCTGACTGTTACCATTTAGAAAATGGAAATTGGAAATGAGCGTGGCTGGGTTTTGCAAAGAAAATCGATTTCCACATCCCTGGGGACGTGGGCAGGGTTCCAAGTCAGCATTCTCATTACAAAGAAGGGATTATGTTAGTGAAAAGGAGAGAAAATCAGTTTGGCCTTTCCTAGGAAGTTTAGTGTAATTGTGAGCTATCATGCTGATGTGTGACTCTTTTTATTCCCTATAGAAAGCCAATGGATTCTGGTAGCATAGTGCCTAAGCCACTTGACTGCTAACCAGAAGGCTGGTGGTTCAGACCCACCAGCCACTCCTTGGAAGGAAGGTTGGGCAATCAATCTACTTCCATAGTGATACTGCCTCGGAAACCCAAGGAAGGGTCACTATGAGTCGGTCCGACTCGACAGCACACAACAGCAACAACATAGAAAGCCAGAGGTTCCTCATGTTGCTCTGAGAGACCATCCTAAACACACACGCTGCTACGTTGGGGGTTCTCTGGGATGTGGCACCAGGTCTTTAGAAAGGCCATCTTGGTTCCTCCCATTTGGTGTTAGTGTTTGCCCCATCCCACGTTCCGGTTCTTCTTCCTCCATCTCCCTGCTCCCTCGCCCTTTTCGTCCCCTCTCTGTCCCTCCTCACTCTTCTGTGTGGAGCATCTCAGCTTCTCATCAACATGACTTTCTCTACGCACCTACCTGTGCTCTAAGTCACAACTTCTCATTTTTCTTACTTCTCTAACACCTGCATTTTGGCTGTTGAAGGAGAGGCAGTTAGTATAGTAGCCTGTAATCCGTTTGTGTATCCGCTTAATTCTTTTTTGCATCTTTTTATCTTCAGATTAGTGGGGATTTCCTGGCATTTCCCTACTCTAAAGAAATACATTCATACTCACAGAAGTATGTTTGCAGCAATACTGAACTGTTACTGAAAAGTTGACACTAACAGGATGCTAGTGGTCTTGTTTTCCTCCTTTTGTTGTTTTCTTCTCCCCCAAAAATTCTATGCTGCAGAAACATACAGGTCATACCCACTCAGAATGAATTCCAAAGAATGTGAAATTGTTCAAGTTGTTTTATTATTCTGATATTAGTGGCAAATACTTTAGGGAAGGGGCTGTAACCTTGGATGCTCTTAGGAGTATAAATGAGTAAAATAAGCCACAAGCAATATCAATATGTAACAGTTGGCAGCAGGCCTCAGGGTTGGCAAGACAGTAGGAAATGATGGAGACTGAGGTGAATTGGTAGGCATGG